GTCGCGGCCCGGCGGGGTCGGCGGCGGTTTGTCCCTTTTGGCCAAATTAAATGACATTTCCCGCGCCTACCTGGCCGCGGGCGGGCGAGGAATGACGATAACGACGGACGCCGCCCCGGGCGATGGCGCCTCGCCCCTCGTCGCCCCCGTCGCCCCCCGCGCAGCCAGCGGTAATGGCCCCGCCCGCGGCCTGATGGCGCTGGGAGGGCATTAAGAAGGTATCGGAGCGCGACGGGGCCGGGGACCTCGTCTCCGTAGGGCGATCTCTCCGCCACAGCGACGATTCCACAGCGGGGGGGGGGCGACGGACGCACGAACGGACTGACGATGCCGTAATAGTAGTTTATGCAATTAGTTTATAATGTTAAGCTTTATTGCATGAATACATCTTTTGAAAACAAGCGACTTTAGGAGCGAGCTTTAAAATTTGTACGAATGTAATAAAGCAACATTATAAACGAGTTGCATACTTTATTTTTTGTATAACAGCATTATACATTTATAAGAGAATCAAATGTAATTTTGCGAAACAACTTCCCTGTGACGACTCGGGTATTTGTCATCGTGCGAGTAAACGGTGGTCGGCTGTTCCGGTTAGCTCTATCTCCCCCCATTTCTCTCGCTATGATTGGCTGAATGTGTTATGACACAATCGTTCGTAACATAAAATATAATACGTCATCATTTGTGCCGTAAAATGCCCGATTATGAACGATTTCTTGCAACAGAAAAGGTTTTTTTATAATGCTGGAATACAAAAAACAAATTTTTCTGTACAAGGTACCACAGAACGTGGCTTTTGACTACACATTGTATTACAGTACGTAATTTATTACATGGGAGCAAGATTTATCCACTTTTACGGAATCAGGAATCCGACATACGATTTTTTGTCGAAAAACCGCCATTTCGCGCTGCAATATAACAATACTTTCTCTTCAATGCGTAAGTAGTAATAGTAAGCGATAAAAATACCTATAAGATATTGCAGAGAATACTTCCGTAGAATGTGCAACATCTTGTGGGTAGTTACTATTCCAATGAAGGTGAAGTAAGTCACCGAAATATCCAACATTGAAAATACATTTTATTAATCATCTAATGCAAAGAACAATTCTGTACCAAAAAATAATATACTTATGATTGTTCAGTATTACACTTTTTGTTTTTTCACACTGGTCTAAAAAATACGTCGGTTCAATAATATCTGGCAATTACAATAAGGGCAATGTGTAAGTAACTGGAATCCCAAATAAAATTATCTTCTGCCGTAGTTACTCAAAATTATTCATCGTGCAGGCCAGTTTTAAAAGTAAAGAAATCAACTCCTGGTCTCGGGTAATTTGTCGTAAGCCAGAGATGTTTTTAAAGATGACGCTGGCCCGCGATGAGATACGGTAAAAATAACGTAAGAAGATGTACAATTCGCAATACGCAAGTATAAGAGGACTATATTCAATGCATAATGGCTATTAGTAGAAAATGAAAAACAATTAAAAATATGATCTGTAAATATTCGTTCGTATTCAAGTACAATAACGCATTTGGCGCCAAGGAAAGTTCTCGAGTATCAAGATACTATACATAAATATCAATAAAATTACTACGTATCTACTTCTACCATAGAATACGCATTACCTTTTCAACACTATCGATTTGTACCACTAACTGAGAAAGTAAATACTAGGTAAAACGTTTTCTACGACAATAAAATTAAAGTTTAAAAAAGGCCATCGAATTGTCAAAAACTCATAAAACACATGCACATACAAAATAAAATATTAATCAACTCAGAAATTAATTCAGTGCTGAATAGGTATTAATGATGCATACATGTGAAAAAAATGAAAGAATACAAAGAAATGATCAAATAAGTGCTTAAATAATAGGCAAACATAAGAGCAATTGGACCAAAAATGAAATGGTGAAACCTAAGTAAGTAGATGTAGTAAGACTGTTGAACCATATCCATTGTTAGAAGCTATTGTTTTGTTACCTTTATGCAATGTGCAAAACTTGCTTTAACATGCGTCGAGAGAAAATAAACGCTACATCGTGCAACCTTATTCATCGATCAGGCATTCACGGGATGCTACGGAAATGTTTACAATATGGCATCACGAACCTCAATTCCCCTGTTGCTATACAAATTCTTACGTACTTCTTTTGACGAATTGAATGTTTTTACATTATGTTCGTTTAAGAGTTGGGTGGACATCTACAGAAACTTTACAAAGTAACAAATTGAAAAAGTGTACTTCATAGATAATACTTCGTAACAAAATGGACATAAAAAAGTATATCTGCGCTTTCTGAAAATAGAAACCAAAGAAAACAGATTTCTAGTACTTCGTAAACTTTGTAAGTAACTTTTACCATCAGAAGGCATGATTACGTTCATCATACATATCAAAAAGTAATTCATTTTGCGAAACTTTGTTTCGGTTAAAAATAATTTTTTGACATCAATAAAAATCTTTGTTCGGCCTTCGAGTTGAAAAAATTAATCAGAGCCCTTAGGCATAAAAACTTGGGCAGAGAAAACGCTTTCAGTAGTGTTCCTATATAATTGCACAAGGAATTCTCAAATGTAACGAACAAAATGGAGATTATTTTTGTTGCAATCGAACGCATTCTATAGCATATGGGGTATGGAATGTATAATAAGTAGTGATTTGCAATTCCTGAAAGTGGTTCGGGGTGAACGAAAAACGACAATTATTCAATCACTTTAACAACTAGTTGTTTGAATAATATTTCAAGCTGTATTCTCGGGCTTGATAGATCGCACAATTTAAATATAATGCCTGAACTTAACTAATATTATTAGAGAGTTTTTGCACAGAGTAAAGCAAGATATCATTGAGTCTATTAGCATGCACGAACTATAAAGTTACGACAGAGTTATATCGGAAAGACATATTCCACCAGAATTATCGAGTCAAACACTAACTGGGAACTGTGTAGTAATACCAGACCCGTGATGCCACAACATGTTGGTGTTACAACATATTGGGTCTAATGGATCATATGCGAAACAGAATGGTGCACAATGAAACATTTAGTGTTAGCAGCACACGCTGCCTTCACAGTTCTGAACTATTTGCGTTACAATAGTCTTCTTAAAACGAAAACGTGCATAACGCTCTAAACGCTTTAAACGACAAATGGTTGTTTCGATCGCACATTATAACGGTTTACAAGTCTGTGCCAAACCTCCCTAATGCCAATTTTTCTGATAATTTGGGATTGCAATTTTTTTAAACAAACTTGAAGTCTTATTTAAACTCGTCTCGATGTTACTGGTTGATAGAAAATTTTGAATGACACTTTTGAAAACAAACTTGAAATCTTATTTAAACTCGTCTCGATGTTACTGGTTGTCAGAGTGCTTGAATATGTCGCGCTTTTTGTGCAAGCGTGAGGTTCGTGAGCCGGGGGGCCCTCGGGGGCGCGTGTCGCGCAGTCGCAAGGGCCACGCCCCCCGCGCTTACCCTCGTGCGTCTTCATGTGCGCTCGCAGGTTGCAGGCCAGCGCGAATTTCTTGTGGCACAGTTCGCAAGCGTGCGGCTTGTCTCCTGCAAAAAACGAAAAAAAAAAAAACACAACTCGATTAGTACGTTCATGCTGCAAGGATTTCGAACGAGGTAACATTATCGTACAATGAATGAAATAACTTATTACAGTGGATTTAAAATCTAAAAAGTGATTTTAGTTTAGAATTACAGTATGCAATAAACCAGCTATTGAACTTACGAAAGAATAAACGATATCAGAAATAAAAACATATGAACAAGAAAATCAAATAAAACCAGTAAATGAAACCATCTAATGTAGGGAAAAAATCTAGAATTATAATTAAGAAGAAAATCTGTACAACACTGTAAAATTGAGACAATACATCCAAAGTCATACTTTTTGAGAATGTCTTACACTAGCAATTCTTCCACACTATGTTTCGTTCCTTTGTTAATCAATTGACAGCGTCATCTTTTTTATTACCGACATCTGTTAATGTATTACAGATGTGAAACAAATTTAAGAAAAAAGTTACGTTTTCGATTATGATGGGAAAGAAACATTTAAGGGTTTCGGGCAGAATTGGCAAATGCTGATTGGTTGTTGCGTAAAGTTATTTGATGAAAATAGGACATGTCCCAATCATATATATTTTTTATTAAAACTAAATCCCATGGCTTGAAAGCTGGATATTAAAAAAATAAGGTTTCATGAAAGGTGAGGTCTACAAAAAATATCATGTCCATCTGTTTAGACCCTTCAGTGGGCAAAGGGGGACGGGGACGCAATGGAAATTGTGCCTAGCCGCCACGGACGCTTGGAGCAAAGTCGGCGCCGTGGCGAACATAGTGTAAATAGTGTAAATAGTGCCTAGGATGTATATAGTGTCGTGTGAAAGTGCGTGTGTCAAGTGTAAATAGAACATAGTGTGAATGAGCGTGTGAATGTGCGTGTGAATGGAAAAAAATTCCAAGAAAATTAAAACAAATAAGCATGTAGTAAAATACAAAAATTCTTTTGCTAATCTTAGGTTGCTGGCCAAAGTGCCGGCTTCATCCATAGGTTAAGTTAGAAATAAGTTAGTAAGTAAGTTCTGCCCTCTTCTTTGCCGCATAAGCCACAGAGCTGCGGCGTATGTTGTACCCCAAGAACGAAATAAACTCCCGCCTCGCCAGGGTTACTGGCGGGGGGAAAGTTGAAAAAGACGCAATGGAATCGCCGCGAGTTCAGCAGCCCTGCCGCGCCGCCGCCGCCGCCGCTGCCGCCCCTTTCGCCAGCGCCGCCTTTTTATGCGCCATTGATGGAATGGAGAAATATGGTGGACAGGTCCGGGGGCCCTTTTGTGTAGCGGCGGCGGCGCGCAGGCTTCTAACGGGACCGTCGCGACGGCGCAAAGGGGCTGATGGCGACGACGACTGCGGAACGACGGAGAACGGGCGGCAGACGACGGAGAAAGGATGGCAGAGAAAGAACGATGGAAGAGGAACGAACGCTGGGTGACGAGAAACGTATAACCGAAAATTGAGAACGAGGATAGAGGGCTGACAGACGGAAGACTGACAGATGGAAGTGGAGAACGGGTGGCCGAAGAGAGAAGACGGAATTCCAGAACTGATGGCGGAGGATGGAGGTAGACGAGTGACACCAACTAGGAACTAATGGATGCATGTAGGTGTGAATGACAGAAACGATGAAAATGTAAGAATAGTGGTAAACGGGTGGTCAAATACGAAGGAAATGGAATTTCGGTTTTGTGGAGAGCTGCAGACAAATTAGAGGGAAGCTGACTGTCACTAGTGTCATACAGTGAAAAATATTCGTGAAATATTTGTTACACATGCAAGAACTGTAAAACTAATTCCGTCAAACGCAAAGAAGTCACACGTTTCTACACTTACATAATAAAATATGCGACGCAAAAAGCTGAGATGAACACATATTTAAGAGTTGAAGGCCACGATTTAATTCAGAAAATCCAGAGTTCCATTAAGAAGTAAAACAATAGTTTTGTATATTATAGTTCCGAAAAGCAACTACTTACTGATTAAATTAAGAAAATAATTCATCGAATATCGGCAATTGAAATGGCAATCTATCATTTTCCTTTTCCAGAACACAAAATATATTTTCATTGTATACCACGTCATTGTATTTCTACATAGAAACAAAACACAAAGTACAATTCACCATAATTCTTGTTCGCGCACGAAAACTATTTTCTTCTGAAAAACACACCTAATTTCACAATTATTTAAATATTTACAAATAATTAACAGTGGTATTTCTACGAATGACTGTTCGTTTCAGGCCACCTCAAACCAACTGACAACGGTAGTAATGAAACAGCCCTTCATCTCCTCTCGTGCCCCGAGCGGCGCAGAACAGAAGCTCACCTCTCCTCCCGGGGCGAGATGGCCCTTCTCAACGGCGCCCAGCGCATCACCGCCAGAATGCGTGCGGAGCGCGGGCTGAGGCTGAACGGGCGAGGTGGAGAGTGCGTGCGGGAGGGAGGGGCGGGGACGGGACGCAGTGAGTGCAAGGCGGAGCCTGGCGAGGGAAGGGAGGCGGGCAGGGCGAGGAGGAGTGGGGCGTGGGGGTCGTGAAAAGGCGGGGTAGCGGCGGGAGCCAGGGCCGAGACGGGACGTGGTCCACGACAGGGGCAGAGGCAGGCAGACGTTCGAGGAAGCGGGACACAATACCCCGCCCGCCGCCTGCAGCACCTTATACGGTGGGCGGCTTTCCATTAAGCCAGACCTGGGCATCAGTTCTAACGCGATCGACTGGTCGATCGCTGGGAATATTTTTATCGATCGTTAGAATTTTCGCTACTCATTGCTTCTGTTTATTGCTTTGGTCGTGGCCCGCACCACAAATTTCAAAATGGGCCCCATAGCCTCACGTTATAAAACATTTTATTTCCATTAATATAATGAACTGATTTTCCCTTTGGAGAAGGAAGTTCTCTAAACCATCTTGCAACCTTGTAAATGCTTCAACACAAAATAAACTGTATGAAATAATAACATTAAAGTTATAATAAAATTATTCTGCATGTTCCATTTATTAACTAGTGAAAGTGTCAAAATAAAAATGTTTAATGGAAACGGAAGCCCAGAAATATAGTTGGCTCCCACGCTTGTTTTAGTCTGCACATTCCTATGAGTACTATGAATAGTACATGAAATACATCTGATGAATAGTTAATATAACATTAAATTTCGGGGGAAAGTACACAAATATATTGTAGAGGCCTTGTTATTTAGTTGTTCCACTTCACGTGAGAGCAGCAACACTTGTACAGGATACAATGCCGGAAATAGCAGACACAAAGGAGGCAGTAATAGTTCCACTTTAAAATTATGCATTTCAAAGCCACGTTTAGAATCAATGCGATAATTTTGAGGTTGCAGCGTGGTAGACAAGTCATTACGTGTCTCGAACACGTATTAAAATGATCATACATCATTTCATATTACTGCAGGAAAACCAGGTATCAGATCTCGTCCAACAACCCTCCAAGAATATTGTACTAACAGAAGATATTCAAAACGTTTGTTCCGACGATTCATGAATACTTAATGAAAGAAACTTCTGTATATTTGTGACATGTGGTCAGGC